AACCCCACAAAAAAAAAAAAAAAAAAAGGTGTCTACCCTCCTATTACGGAAGAAGGTGGTCTCAAGATGTTCCCAGTTTCAAAGCAAAACCAAACCAACTGCAACCTTGTGAAAAATTTGTCCTGCAAACATGCATCTTCTGCAACTGAATCAAAGTCAGTTTCAGAAAGTAATGATATTTAGTGCTTCAGCTCCCCAAATCTACATCATCTTCTTGCTAGGCTGAAATAACAGATTCAAAATATTACTTACCCCAGTGCTATCTCCAACCCAGGACAAGGACACTGAGCCACTGAGATCATCAAAGACATGCTATACGGGAAACAAAAGTGAAATACATTTAGAAATGACTGCACTCCTTCAATCCTGAACTTCTGTAAATAATTCAGAAGTTTATTACAGTACAGAGCAATTACGTTCATAATCATAAGGGAATATGGATTCCTAGAACAAAATTTGGGAGAGACAGGATCTAACTACTTAACCGGAACCACAAATAACTTGGAAATTTAAATTCTCTCTCACACAAAATAAGCCAAACAGATGAGTTTTCTTCACTATACCAGATGGGGAGATGGAATAATCTAATTGCTTTCTCCAAGAGAACTAAATATAAGTATATAAAGTATTTTTAGGATGCTTTAAAATAAGAGATCATAGCCCTGACACTGATAGGCATAACTGTACCCAGTCAGCATAACTTAAATTTTTCTAGGCAGCCTTCACAGTATAGCTGAATAGTTAGCAGCTGGATTCCTTTTGCTTCCAGGCTCAGTCAAAATGACAAGGGGCAGAAGCAAGAAGCAAGTGCCATTGTTTTAACTTTTTATTTAATAATAATAGTAATGGTAGTAGTGGTAGTAAGAATAATGATAATAGTAATAATAAAATAACAATACTAGAGTTGTGGTGGGAGTAGGGAGACAAAAAAGGGAGAGCTGATGTCTTATAGCCAAAATATAGTATGTTAAATATATTTATAATAATCATTGTAGGTGTTTTTAGGTTTTGTTTTTCAAATACTTCCTTTTTCTATTTACAAAATAATATATATATTCATTGTAGAAAATACAATTATAAGGAAGTATAAAAAGAAAATATGTCATTCATAATCCTGCTACACAGAGGCATTCAAGGTTAACAAAATGTGTACAATCTTATAGTCTCTGTATTTTTTTAAATAAAAAAATAAAAATTTCAAAGAGGCAATACCTGCTCTTGGTAAAAATTTCTAACCATATAGAAATTGTATACTATACACTGTGTGTATAGCTAAAAGTGAAGATTCTTCCCCTTTCCAGGCCACATGTCCACCACCCCAAGGCCCATTCCAAAGAGGGTTTAATAGTTTAGTATATATTTCTACTAAATGTTGATGATTATGGTTGTTATTAAGAAGGATTATATATTATTAAGATTTTTTAATCTTAAACATGCCTTGCCTTTTCAAATATGAGAAGTTCCTTACAAGCAGAGGATGTCACTTTATACTTCTTGGTACGTCCTGTGCCTACCACAGCGATACTTTGCACACTCAGTAAGCATTTGTTGAAAATGATTACATATCCTTCCCAAACCACAAACTCAATCTCAAAATAGAACATGTCTATAAATGGTAGGATGCCAGCTCCTTCGCCACTCAAGCCACTAATTCCTAACAGAGAAGTCTGAAGAAACAGAACTCAAAACACGAACTATTTTGCTTATCTTCTAATTTTCTCGTGTTTCTCCTGCATAGGCCTTCTGAGTTCACCTACGCTATTTCCCCTCTGGACTGTATGAACCTTTGAGGTCAAAATCTCTTGTACAATCTCTATAAGTGCCTTACAGTTACTGCCTTAAACAGGGCTTGCTCAGCAAATGATGGTTAATTCTCAAATGTTCAACAAGCAGAGCTTCTCACAGCCTCTGCAGAACAGAAAGGCTATTTATACATGTAGCCCACCAAGCATCTGAAAAAGTCGGGCTGCTAGAGACACCTGGAACCAGAAGCTTAAAAACTGACATAGCAGTGTGCCTTATAAGATTTCACATAGAGCAAAACCGCATGTTCTCTTGAACAAGGATACAGCATCTGAAATTACATCAGGGAGCTCCTTGAGGAGGAGCAGGAATATCCAGAACTACCACAAGCACCAGACAGACCACATGGGCTGGCAGTCATCTAAACACAGGTTATCCTTCCAAGGCAGGCTCTGGTCACAATGACTGACTAGAATAAAAAAAAAAAAATTCCATCAACTGTGGCACTGGAGTTCATGGCTGTCTTGATCAGGCCATAAAATAGTCTTGAGCCAGTCAGGAACTGCAACTTGTTCTTTTCAGGCAATGTTCTACACACCTGACCCAGTCGGTGCAGACTGGCATTACCCATATTTTCTTATTGTTCAGATCACAGAACAAGGAGGATTACTGGATATCACTAGCACCTTCAGCTTCACCTAAACAGCTAAAATGATAATTTCATTCATCATCCAAAGAGTTCCTTTGGAAACGTAGGCCAGATTTATTAACTATAATTGTGGTTTACTACTACCCCTAACCTTCCCACCCACCCCTTCCTAATAGCCAATTAACATTTGCTTTTGAAAATGTACAAACTCATTGAAAAACTAATCCACCTATAGCAAATGTAACTAATTTTTAATATTTCAGTCTCTAACATTCTATTGCTGATGAAAGTGAGAAAAGTGAAATCAGAGCTAACAGCAGAACAAAGCTCAAGTGGAAAGAAAAGGTCATATGGAAAGGAGATAAATCCAGGAGAATTAGGGGACCAAGAATACAGATTCAATCCTACCCCTTCAAGGGGAGAAGGAATAGGGATGTCCAGGACAGGGTGAACGACCTGGTCACGGTTAAGGAGACAGAATTCACAAGTGTCAGCACAAGGCCATCAATTCTAATTCCTAATCATTTATTATATTTAACACAAGGTACATATCACTCTACACTGTGGTGGCATCTTTCAAAATGTGCATTACTTTTTTTTTTTAATGTCCCATCTCTTTGAACCTAAAAATATGTATTACTTTTAATTATAGCAACAAGAACCTTGTCTGTCCCCTCTTACTGGATCTGAAGCCCCATTTGGTACAGGGATGAAGCCTATACATTTTAGAAACTAATACAGAGCACAGCACATGGGAGGCACTCAATATATAACGAATCCATTTTCTTTAAGAAGTACCTGTGAAAAGGAGGATGATGAAGTGAAAAGCTAAGGCCAGACCCACTTAATTTCCCCATGACAGAAATGAGTATGAAACGTAAAAGTTCTATTCCCAGAGGGCTTCTGCTTCTGGCCAAGACAGAGTGACAAGGATCAGACCTACCCTCCCACCTGAAACAACTGAAAACATACAGAATATATAAAACAGCAATTTTCAAGACACTAGACAACAAGCAATGAGAAAAATAATCTCTGAAAGGAAACAGAGGGCCCTACAACTGCCCCAGCTTATTGCCTGGAGAGAATTTCCAGGCCATGGTGCAGGGAAGGGGAACCCAGTCAGAGCCCAGAGGTCTCTCTAAATTGAGGAGATAAAACTAATAGTCTGGGGAGGCCAAAAAGGTTAGAATTCACAGGGTAGAAGACTAGCAGGGAGAGAGTTGCACAGAAAAAGAACTCTGGAGATCTGAAGAGGAGGTTCCCCAACCACTCTGCCAAGCCTTCATCTAAGTATTGATCACCACGTGCATATGAGGAAACTACTTGAGGCCAGGAAAAGAATCACCTGAAAGGATTGGAGAGACCATTGTTTGGACCTCCCACAGGACCAGGAATAACTCGTGTTCCCAACAACCACAACAGAAACCTCATATTTCAAGGGAATTGGGTAGAGTATTCAAGAAAGTTGTCCTCAGTAGTGAAGAAAAATTAACCCTACACTTAATGCTTTTCTGGTTCTGACTAAAAAAGCTTAAAGCAAAACCAAAAAGGATCAAACTGTTTCCAAGTAACCTAACTGTATCCAGGAATAAAGTTCAAGAATATTTACAAGAATACAAAAATATCTAGTACCCAACAAGATAAAATTCACATTCAATCAAAAATCACCAGGCATGCAAAGAAGAAAACAGGATCCATAATAAACAGAAAAATCAAACAAACTGACCTAGAAATGAAACAGATAATAGAATTAGTAGACAAGACAGTTGTAACGACACTCTGTATGTTCAAGAAGTTAGAGACTAGATTGTGCATGTTAAGTATAGACATAAAAGATATAAAAAAGAACCTAAATCGGACTTGTAGAAATGAGGATTACAGTGTCTAGGATGAAAAATACACTGGATAGGATGAACAGGAAGTTAGACATTGCGGAAAAGAACAGCACCAGAAAAGAACTTGAAGATACACCAATAGAAACTATCCAGAGTGAAACAGAGAGAAAAAAATTAACAGAGCATCACTGAGTTGTAGAACAACTTCAAGCAACCCAATACATATGCTTTTGGAGTTTCTGGAGGAGGTTGGAGGGGGTGGGGACAGGAAAAACAACTGAATAAATAATATCCAGAAATTTCCCAAATTTCATGAAAAGTATAAATGCAGAGATCGAAGAGGCTCATAAACCTCAAGCCCAAGAAAAATGATGAAAACTACACAAAGGCATGTCACATTCAAATAGTCTAAAACCAGTAGTAGAGAAAAGTCGTAAAAGAATCCAGAAAAGTCTTAAAAGAAAAAAATGATTTTACATACAAAGTAACAAAGAAGGATAGTAGACTTTTCCTCAGAAACAATGCAAACCAGAATACGGTGGAGCAACATGTTTAAAGTGCTGGGGGAAACTGCCAAGCTAGAATTTTATATTCAGTGAAGCTATCTTTCAAAAATGCAGATTTCAAAAAAGAAGAGTTCTGTTCTTCTGCACTTGTCCGTTACTCCTCAGCATTATACGGTGGGTATTTCTTTTTGACAGCCACAGAGAGGGACTATGCCAGTCCAAAAGATCTGAAAGACAGCTGAAGTCCATCGTTCCATGTAAAACCAACCATTTGGGTCCCTAATTACCACAGCTCAAAGTGATCTCCTCTTCTTGTGTTTTGTTCTCACAGCACTTATGGACATACTTTTAACTATAACTACGAGTATTTACGTATTTGTCTACCTCTCAAATCATGCTATGAATTCTTTTTTTTTTTCCTTTTGTCTTTTTTACTGACCGGTAACGGGATCGCAACCCTCGGTGTCGCGCCTGTACCGGGGACTGGCAACAGGATCGCAACCCTCGGTGCTGCGCCCGCACCGCGCTCAGCCAGTGAGTGGGAACCGGTCCCCACATGGGATCCGAACCCTC